GAAACCCAACATGTATTTTGTTTTTTTTTAATAAGCTTTGTTTATACTTCTAATATTTTTTTCATAAAATACTTATTTTCAGAGTTAATCATGAAAAACAGTCAGAAAACATGTTTTTTTTTTGCTGAAAAATTGACGCGTCGTCTCTCGAGTAAAGACTCATTTACACGATTTACTTATTTTCTTATACATACAAGAGCAACATAGATAAATGATTGTTTTCGCTTCGATAAATAAATGATTGGTCTCGCTTCGCTCGACTAGATACCGCGCTGTCAAAAAACGACAGCTCCGTAAAACGGCCGCGGCAACTCATTATTGTAGTGTGTGTGTATCAATTTGCAAGGATGATTATGGTGTCGATTCTGGCAGGATAGCTGAATATGTAAATTACAAGAATCATAATGCACGTAATATTGGACTACAGCAATTTGCTAAGGAATTTGGAGTTCATGGATTTGGATCTAAAGAAATAACAAAAAAAATTGCTCGAGTGTTGTTGAACACTCGGTTGGAACATAGACACTATTTTTTTTATAAAACCTGAGTACTAATACTAAACAGATGAATGCAGGCGAAATGTATTTCGCGTGTTTGTATTTTTCCATAACGTTTTTTATGTGGCGAGCGCGCGTTTTGCACTTTGACTTGTTTATAACATTTTTTTTTGGGGGTGTCTGTCTGTGTCTGAAATTTTGGGGTAAGAAACCCCTTGATTTTTTTCTATTTTTGTATGAAAATCTTAATACGGTTCACAGAATACATCTACTTTCCAAGTTTCAACAGTGTAGTTTTTACAGTTTCGGAAAAAAGACGGACGGACGGACATGACGAATCTATAAGTGTACCGTTTTTTGCCATTTGGCTGCGGAACCCTAAAAATATATACCACCCTCCAATCCACACTGGGTCCGCGTGGCGAATTAAGGTTTATCCATAAAAAAGGTATCTTACTCACCAATCCGCACTGGGCGTAGTGCGAATTGGTCTCAGTGCAGAATGGGACCCAGTGCGGACGCTCTCGGTCCAATGCCACATACCAAACAAAACTTTAAAATAAGTCAACAAACACCGCCAACATGGGTAGCTAAGCTACTCGCCCGGCTGCGTAGGCATCTAGCTAGCTGCTTCGCTAGGTTGTGACAGTATTTTACGCCTAGTGCCCTGTTAAACCGTCCGAAAAGAAATTTCGTTCCAAATATATTCAACACCTTTTTTAACGACATTTTCTCTACATTTCTTGCCTAGATGAGTAGCAAAGTTTAACACACCCTCACATACTGCAGTCGTGTTTGCAAAATTTGAACAGTTGAATACAATAATTGGTTATAAAATTATTGTATGTGATGTTTACACCAAGAAAAGTTTCGAAGCAAAACTTGTATACCACATCAAGAATGTCATATACTCTTTAGACCATGGAAGCCATTTATTGCTTTAATTTAATTGTATGCAACAGGCAAGAAAATTGCATCGTGTAAATGGCGCTTTAGCCAGAAATAATTGACTATATTTCTGTTTTTCGTAATACATTTTTCTTTTCTATTGTTAAATATATTCCTTTATATAATTGCATGTAAATTGTAAATGTACCTATTTTAAGCCTACTGTGTCAAATAAATTATTTTGTTTTTTTTTAACAAATAGGGGTCTCCACCCCCAGGGTAAAAGCAACCCTCGGCACCTTGACAACTCTGAAGCAGAACCTACAGTCAAAATTTGGTATTAATCGGTGCTGTTTTGTAGAATTGCTAGTGCAAACCTTGCATTGACTGGAATTGAGTCGTCGGCGATTCAGTGGCCGTGACCCGCCGCACAAAGCGACGCTATATCTCACTCACGACTGCTTTCCCTGTGCAGATATGTAGAGGATCATTTGTTATCCCTTTAATTTGGTCAGTCCATCTTGTTGGTGATCTACCGTGTACTCGGGCTTCTTCAACTACCCTGAACGACCAGACGCTCGATGGAGGTTTCACCACAGCGAGAAACGAGAGACGGTTCTCAAATAAATTATTGCGTGGCGTAGCGCGACGCTGCTGCACCCACTGAAGGGCATTTTCCATTTCTCTCAAGGAAATGAATAAGAAAATAGTTTTATTTTATATCTCTCTATAGCACGAATCACAACGCGTGTGATGATGTGAACTGACCACGACTTATAGTGAATAAAATTCAACCTAATCCCGCTAGCGTTAAAAATAAAGCCTCGGAAAGGGTAAATTTTTTATATCTTTCACTCTGGTACTTCGGTTCGTATTGGTATCAATGACTAAGGGTACGGCCAGAGTGAACTCAGATTCAGATTCAGACTCAGAAAACAAGCGCGAGAAATATACAGTGTAGTTTAAGCAGGTTGCCTGCTGCCACTATGGCCACCCTGCTTTAACTACACTGTTTATTTCTCGCGCTTGTTTTCTGAGTCTGAATCCGAGTGCACTCTGGCCGTACCCTATGGCTAAGAACGAACGCGGCTGCGGGACCGCAACTTGCGTGGAATGTCAAATTGTAGGTTAAACGCTAAAGCAAAACTCACGGCGTGATTTGCGTCTACAGAACGCGCGTGTGTTTGCGGCGACCCGCTGCGGGCGCCCGCGTTTTTTATGCGGGTGTCTGCGCGCCCGCAGAAAACTGCGGTCTCGTAAGTTTAAAAAAAAACAGCTTTGCCACGGCGGTAGATTCAATTTTCCATAACCACTATAAATCGGAAGGTAGTAATTGATCAGGAAAATAAAAAATATAATTTTTGGTTTGGATTTATTGCAATAAAAATATATCGACGGTATTTACACTCATTGTGTTTTGGAGTGGAGACTACATAAATGCTTACATCATAATAAGGTGCAAGGGCAGCGGTCGCAGTATTTGCGTATAAAACGAAATAGTCTCTTTTCCATAAAATAAGGATAGTTACAAGGGCAATATACAGATATAATATCTATGAAAAGGTTATAATATTTCACATCAACCTCAACGCATATTCCGTTTTGCGTAACGTACATTGTAATGCAAGAATTACAATAAAAAAAACTGTATGTACTTACATCAAATTTGTACGCATATTTCACAAGTGACTGTAATTTGCACAACAAAAGATAATTTCAAACACCACAGTTCAAATAAAACCCAACAAAACAATCATAGGGCAAAGAGTGTACGTTCGATATTTTTTGAGTATGTTTATATAATAAAACGGCGATAAGAGGATTGCCTAATCATACTTCATTCATCAACCTTTTTCTCGATCCAAAAATATATAATGCAACAAAGATTGAACGTGGAACTAAAGAATGGTGGGTGTTCGACAAAATCATCGGTGTAACATTAATTTTATATTGTACAACTTCTTTTTTTTATACGACATCAGTAAACTGATCACTATCATTTCATATTTCTCCAATTTTAAATAAAAAAGAATACTACTATCAAACGAACGTTACAGTACTCTCGTTTATCTTTATACAAAAATTCATCAAAATTGCTGCATCAGATATATCTTTAATATTATGAAGCACTCATCATTCTTTGGTCACGACACGATTCACGAGTAATCGAATAAGAAGTTAAAGGTCGAACATATCCAGCTCGTAATAGCATAACATAATGGCACAATATAATCGTAGCAATAATGTGGTCTGGTGCTTTAGGCAAATAGACACAGCCAATCATCATAATTTAAAAATTAACTAGTGTTCCCGTAAGTAGTGACTAATCATACTTAATAGATAAATGGAAGAATGAACGCCTGTGCTTGGTCTATACAGGAAAATACTATTTAAAAGTTGGTCGTAATTGTAATTGAAATAAATATAAAGATAAAAAATATGGCACTTGGCATTTTTGAGGCGCATTATATTATAAAATACCAAATCTTTTAATAGTTCAGTGAATAATGCCTCGATCTAGACGCAAAATTTTATAAGATCAATTTGATTTAAATGAGGTGCTATTCTGATCGCGGCTGCAGGCAGCACTTGCAGCGGCTGCGAATGCACGACTGTTTTATATGTATTTGTAAGAAATACATTCCGGTAGCGGTTGCAAGCTGCAGCCGAATTTGGAATGAATTGTAAATGTTCATGAGTGGATTTCGGGTGGATAAATATAAATTGCGAGTTAACACATCAGCCTTGCTATTTTCAATCAATCAATACTTTATTGCATTCTACAATGTTTTCTTAGATCTTAGTAGGTACATTGCTTTGGTCATTGTAGACCCTGAACAGGGCACAGCAAATAGAGAGGACGCATTCACTAATTGTAATTTAGTTAGTACGTATACAATTTACCAGTCAAATACGATAATTTTTTACCCAAAAAATAAAAATATATTAATATCAACATTATTTTAATATACCTACAGGCTCCATGATAGTAAACTTACAAAATCGATTATGATATTTATCACATAAGCCCAGGCGTTCTTTTAAACAGTTATAGCACACACGATTTCTACACATTAATACAACCTATCGTCATGGCATTACAACAATACCAAAATTTTACACTTATGGCAAGTAATGAGACCGTCATTCGAGATTTTGAATATTTATAGGCTTTAACTATGCTACAGGTCATATTTTACTAAACATCATCTCTTCTTCCTCTTCTTGGATTTGGAAGTTCTGCATGCTGTTATAGTAAGAGATAGCAAATAGTCATAGTATCTCCTTAAAAAGGGACAATGTTTAGTAAATAACGACCATAATATTAAAAATTCAACAAACTGTAAGGTTTGGATCAGTTCACACACAATACAAAAATACAATACCTATTCAGTTAGTAAGTTATCTATTTTATGGACACGGAAGTATAGTGTTAATTGTCTTTATATTGATTTGAAAAATGAGACCGTCATTCGAGATTTTGAATATTTATAGGCTTTAACTATGCTACAGGTCATATTTTACTAAACATCATCTCTTCTTCCTCTTCTTGGATTTGGAAGTTCTGCATGTTGTTATAGTAAGAGATAGCAAATAGTCATAGTATCTCCTTAAAAAGGGACAATGTTTAGTAAACGATCATAATATTAAAAATTCAACAAACTGTAAGGTTTGGACCAGTTCACACACAATACAAAAATACAATATCTATTCAGTTAGTAAGTTATCTATTTTATGGACACGGATGTATAGTGTTAATTGTCTTTATATTGATTTGAAAAATATTGTTAACATTGTGATTTTATTAGAATAAAATCTCTATCCTAGAGGATTAATTTGTACTTATAAAAATTACTGGGACTGTTACATTTACTACAACTAATTGTGATATTAAAAGGATGAGTACTGTATTAGATACGATTTTTTATTAGTAGCTAAAATAGGAAACGTTTAATGGCTATTAAAATAAAAGTAAAAGGTAATATTAATTACCCTTTACTTTCATAATGACAAGACAAAACTTGGAATTACCAGCAATTATCACGTTCTCTGCAAAGCAAACTATGTGAAAATAGCTGATTATGTTTTCATTAATGGCTCTCAACTTAATAAACAAAATTGAAAAAAAAAACATAAGTCTTAGTAAATAAGGATTCGATCCTAATAAAGGAATAAGATGAACTGTAAAATAAAATAATATAATGTGCGACAGAATAGTTCCCAATATCAAAGACAGCTTTTGTAACAGCACTTGCTAGTAGAAAAATTGTAAGAATCGATTTTTTGCTCTTTCTAATAGTTGCAATTGCACAAGCTGTTAAAAACCCCATCTTCTTTAGACGATAAATTAAGGAATAAGTAAGTATGCACTTTGTCATTGAGATTGTTACAAATCAAGTGATTTATTATTTAATCGAATAGTGTTTTTAAAATATTTTAGACCTTCTAAAAACTACATATCTTTATATATGGAATATCTGATAGTGTTTAATCATTCTTATTTGATACAATTATGTATTATTGAATATTCGATTGAGTTTGTACTTCGTTAAAATAGCAGAAACACCAATATAAAAAAAAAAAGATTTTTTTAACACTACTTCATCGCCTTTGTTCCATCTACTTAAATCAGATCCTTTTCATTGAAAACAGTTTTAAATTAATCATTTCAAGTTACAAAATCAAGCATCTTTTTAAATAAATTATTGCTTCATAATATCACTACATTATTTTAAACAGAGATTACAAATATTAAGTGAAATATGAATAATGTAATAAATGAAAACTGAAGAAAGAGATCACCCGGTGTAATTTCTAGAACAGGCATCAGGGAATGGAATATGAAGGTGGTATTATGCCCGGTTCCTACATAAAAACTTGTCAGCAAATTATATTTCACCAGCACATATTTTATAGGTACTGAAGAATTTATCCGATAATAGCGATAATGGTCTTAAAAGTAATGTTGCATTCCTAGATTTTTCAAAACATTTAATGTGGTTAACAGAAAACACTTTATGCGTGATACCTATACAATACACCTGATGATAGGTAATCTTTTTCTTGAGTTGTGCGAACGGGTAGAGGTACAAAATGTATGTAGGTACTAAGTCGAGTTATTGTTTTAACAAACATTTCTATATTCGATAGGATTTGTACATATTTAGGACGATACCAATGTAATATTAACCGAGGATCTATCAAGGGCGGATCCAACTTTGGCGCCAGGGGAGGGTCATATAGTCGTGGTCAAGTCACAGTGGGTACAGATGAACCCAGCCCAGGGGGGGGGGTCATGACCCCCATGACACCCCCTCTGGATCCGCCCTTGGGATCTATGCATAGTGACCGGGCATATGTATAAAAGCTGGAACACTCTTGCAACTAATCTCTCTGCGATAATCCCGTCATCGTGCTTCTATTGCACATACTTAACGCATTAGATGGTTGCAAATGCAATTATTTAGACAGACGTCAACATTGTAGAAATACTTTTTGATTCAAATTTAATGCGTGCAACTATGGTTCAAAGTGCGCGCTGCGCTAGATTCATATAGGAAACGATTCATTTGCAACTATTGCGTTGCACTTAAATTGCGATTCTTTTTCGAGGTCCGTACAACTATCGCACTGTAATTGCAAGTGTGTTCTCTTTAACATATGTGGATTGCCACGTCACACGGCGGTGACGCGAGCGGCTCGCCGCTAGGAGGCGCCAGGTTTCCTTTCGCTTTCCAAAAGCTTGTCGTCCGAACAGAATTTCTCCAGTTGCTTCACGTAATACGTATTGAAGTTTAATCTGGGGAAAACATTGTATTTTTTTTATACAGTAGGTTCTTACAAACAAATAATGCGATAGCTTTTCTGTGAAGGTGGCTGTCAAATCAAGAATATTAAAGGAAAACTGGTGTGTGAGCTGAACTGATTTGAGGAACTAACACGTGTCACTCAAAAATTATCATTATCATGTCATTATTGTATACTATCCCAAACGATGCGATGACAATAAATAACAGTTATTTACGAGCTAATCTACGAACCAAAATCCCGCCTACTCCTCTCTATGCCGTCAGGCTATATACCTCTACTATATATACCTGTCGGCATGTTAAGAGGGGAGGCGGAATATGTTTTTTTTAATACAAACGTTCTCGACTGATTCCTCCTTGATTTTTATCACTAAAGAAATGATTTTCATACATTCTATGCTCCTATGTCTTCCTATTTCGAAACTCGTGTTACAAAGAAAAAAGAAGTCATTAAAAATGCCAAAAATAAACAAATTGTTATCACCACTAGTACGCCTAGTATGGAGATTCAATAAGCATTTACATAAGAAGCAAAACATAAAGGCCAGTATAACTTATTATTATTCTATGTGTAAAAAATCTTTTACACAGTTATAATTTATATTTATAAGCATGTAACTGCTCGATGTTTAAATCTAAAGAAAATATTACTAGAAAAAAATCCACACGGCCCAGGCAGCAGAGGGGACTCCAACCCGCACCCTTCGCTATCCGGGCGAATGCACTGACCAATTATGCTACCGCGGCCCTGATGGCCGTGTCGAATTCTTTCTAGCTTTTCTGAAGCTGCAAGGCAGCGCCATCTCTTCGCATTGTAGGTCACCCACTTCTTTTACATAGTCGAGAGCCAAACCTTGAATTTCGGCTATTTTTATACGAAATTTTCAGCGTTGGCTACTGTTGTCCCTATCGCACGGTAGGTATACCAATGCGCGACAGCGATAGTTTTTTAATACCTATTTCTCAAATGTGTCTCAGCTCAGCTCGCGTCCGCTCTTAAGCAACTTATTGGTATTATTGTCCCGTGCCGTATGCTCTATGATGGCGAGTACGGAGAGCAGAACGGCGGTGAATTGCAGTCCGTATCACAATATTGACCGAGCTAATAAATTCGCTAACCTAAACTCCACCCACCCATATACATACCTAGCGGATATATGGAGCAGCTTGTTGGTGTTATTGTCCCGTGCCATATGCTTTATGATGGCGAGTACGGAGAGCAGAACGGCGGTGAATTGCAGTGCGTATCTCAATAAAGACTGAGCTAATGAAATCGCCAACATAAACCCCGCCCTACCGTATATATACATACCTGGCGGATATATTGAGCAGCTTGGTGTTATTGTCCCGTGCCGTATGCTCTATGATGGCGAGTACGGAGAGCAGAACGGCGGTGAATTGCAGTCCGTATCACAATATTGACCGAGCTAATAAATTCGCTCACCTAAACCCCGTCCACCCATATACATACCTGGCGGATTTGGGAGCAGTTTATTGGTGTATTGTCCCGCACCGTACGCTCGATGATGGCGAGTACGGACAGCAGAGCAGCGGTGAATTGCAGTCCGAATCTCAATATTGACCGAGCTAATGAAATCGCCAACCTAAACTCCACCCACCCATATACATACCTAGCGGATATATTGAGCAGCTTGGTGTTATTGTCCCGTGCCGTATGCTCTATGATGGCGAGTACGGAGAGCAGAACGGCGGTGAATTGCAGTCCGTATCACAATATTGACCGAGCTGATGAAATCTCCAACCTAAACCCCGCCCACCCATATATATACCTGGCGGATATGTTGAGCAGTTTGTTGGTGTTATTGTCGCGCGCCGTACGCTCGATGATGGCGAGTACGGAAAGCAGAGCGGCGGTGAATCTCAGTCCATATCGTGATACGGAACGAGCGAATGAATCCGCGGATCCTCCCCCAGTCCCGACTCCACTACCACCCCCGCAACCCGTGGTCTGCGCATGATAAGATGATTTAATTACATTCTTCATTACTGATCAGAAGAAGCCTGTGTCGCTTAAGATCTAAGACAGGTAGAATGTTCAAAAAAATTCCGAAATTAAATACTTTACTAGTGTTCTCAACCTGTTAGGAATTGGAATCATGTAAAATGCTGAAAAGTGAGAAGAATAATTTAATATAGATACTATGTCTGGAGGGTAGGTCAAAAATGCTAAAAGAGGGGACACTTACAAAGTTATTAGGCTGGTGATAATTAGGAATATTAGCCAATAATGAGTTGTGATAACAAGTACCAACGACGTGAATGTTATTACAGTTAGTGAAAATGTCTCTAAATTATAGCTTACTAATGCATAGGATGTGCAGGGATACATTGATTGTGTCGACTGCACTGCATTAAATTTAAGATAATAGGTAGATGCAATTTGACGTAGCAATAAAAATTACCTATATTAATGCAAGTGCATTCACGGTCATGATATCGACTGAATGTACCTTATAAACTAATTATTATTAGTTTTGAATTAGCACATAAAAGTAAAGTAATAAATTGCTAATTTATTAACTAACCATAACTTACCGATGAATTCTAAAAAATCGTGAAATACAAAAAGAAAGCTGAAAACTAATTTGTTTCACAGATACAACATGGAAGCATAAGACTGGTTGAAATATACAACAATACAATGTGAACACACCCTATAGTAGTGAGTTGCCAAAACTATAATCAATTCGACGACTCAACAGCCTTACACAAAATTACAGTGCGACGAAGCGTCACCAAACAATAACAGTATTGCATATATTTAATCGCACTATGGCAGTGTACGATAGAATGTCGATTATTTATAATTCTAAACTTTTAACGCATTGCAAAGTTCATACGTTAAATACGATTCAATATTGTGGCCTTACTCCGACGTGCGCTGTGATTGGTCGAGATTATTGTGTGACAGTTCACTAAAAACGGTAAGGGTGTATATACATCGAATATAATTCTGATAGTGATTTAGTGCCTCTATTGATATTACTGAATGTTGAGAGTGCGCGATTGGTAGCTATTTGCGATAATTATACCTCAATATACTCTGTACTGTCATACGTTGATCCAAGCATACTGTTAAGCTCTGCATCCACGAAGTACTTGTGCATCTCCTTTGCCAATTAACGTGTTTTGGTAGCGTTAAAAGAAAATACAAAATAAATTACTGTTAGAAATAATAATAATATAATTATGTATAATATTACATAATAAGTAATCGCATAAGCAAAATTCAACAGGAAAATCCCCATCCTTCTGCCTAATAGGTATCGAGGATCTACAAAATTTGCAAGGATATAATTACTAAAAATATTTTTAAAGCCAATGTGCGCAGAATAGTAAAATTGTTTCTCAATATGTCACTGGCTTTACAAAGCAGTAGGTGTTCTACCCATGATAAAAAAAAATATATATGAAAAGCTTAAATTTTGCAAAAAAGTTATAGTTTTAAAGTTACGGTTACTATGATTCTTATGAATCTCAATCTTAATGCAAATATTTTGGTAAGTATACTTTAAATCTCATACTACTAATACTTTTCATTTTAACCAAAATATTTGTATTCGTCGTCGGTCATTTAAGGAAATATAATGAACTAGCAAACCCAGCGAACTCTGTTTCGCCACCAGATAGCTTCGTTTTATGTAACATTTCGTTTTGTGATTAAAAGAAAACGATTTTTTTTTTAATTTTTCCTGAATTTTCTTTGCTATAAACCTCACGGAGCCCGAGACCTTTCCAACGAATGCAAAACCGTGGAAATCGGTTCGTGCGTTCTGGAGTTATAGCGTCAGGAAATATAGTAGATAAAAGGAAATGTGAAAGGAAGAAGTTAATAGAACTATTCAATTAAATAATATAAAGCCATAAAAATACAAGGTATAATAATGTCTGAAATAAGTATATAAATTAAATTAAAATATAATATTTACTTATACGCTCACCCTGACGCTGTTAATAAAATTATATACATACATACTTTTTATTATTTTTTGTTATAGTCGCAATAGTGTGGTAATATTTTCTCTATTCAAAATCGTACATTATTTGTGTATCATGTTGCACGTAAACTTTTTCTATTTACTTTTTTTGTGAAAAATATATCTGTGGTACAAAAGGCTGACTTAATTCTAATATCATTATCTAGTGTCAACCTTTGGAAAAAAAAATTAACATGCAAGTATATTTATAAGAAAGTAATATTTCTTATTATAAATAAATTTATTAAGTATCTGTACACTTGTACGCAAATAAATTTTAAATTATTTGAAGAAAATTAGAGAGGTCCTGTTCACTGGTTGGTCTTTCATTATTAGGTAATTGAAACTTGAATGATAACACATCTGATCCGTAATCGTATCGTCACCGTCAAATTTTGTATGCCAGTTTGCTCTTCCAGTGGGGAGCGCTGCTTAGTTTTCATAGAAACTTTGACGATGCAATACGATTACGGATCTGCCAAAATCGTACTTGGGCCTCTCTGTAGATAATTCACACTTTAATTAACTGCGTCCAGAGGGTATATACCTAACACGTATCATGCAAAGTATGGTAAAATACACCTAATCGTTACCTGGATGAAGGTGCAAAACTGCACGCAGACTAGGCAGAGAGTGGTGACGGCTTTCAGTAGCTGCGGACTCGTCAGCATGCAGTCGCCAAGGCATGACTCGAGGAAGTCGTTGTGGCGTTCCAGTACCTCGTCCACATTATTGACCTGAAAACCATTTTATTATTCATGAAAAAAAATCGATATGTGTTCTGGGACACATAGTAGAAGTAAAACTTCGCCAGCTTTACGCCCCAGTCTATATAGAAGTTTCACTTCAACATTGTTTTGTTGAACAGGGTTGCTTTCAGATGAGCAGGGGAGAAAGAGCGTCTTGCTATATGCTTGGATAAAGTAAACGATTATAGAGCATTATCATCGGGACCGGTTGCTGTACAATGATTCCAGCGGCAAGACAGATAATGTGCGTGGTCCCGCAGGGGTCAGTACTGGGGCCACTGCATTGGAATCTCGCATACGACTGACACCATTGTTCTTCGGAGCAAGACATACGAAGACATCTGACGCTCGGGGGCAGCAAGTGGCTCGCTAGTGACAGGACGCATTCTACGCGTAGGCTCGTCTCTGATCGAGGAACTTTAAAAAAGGGCAGCATCCGTAGCATGTGTATCGGTGTTTCATGAGGCACCGAGCAGGAGAGAAAGGGTCTTGGCTACATGCGTGGATAAAGTGAAAGACTGTAGAGCATTACCATCGGGACCGGTTGATGATTCCAGCGGCAGGACATGATCAAGACAGATGGTGTGCGGGGTCCCGCAGGGGTCAGTACTAGGGGCACTGCATTGGAATCTCGAATACGACGGACAAATTAATCGTTGTTCGGAGCAAGATATACGAAAACATCTGAGGCTCGGGGTCATTAAGTGGCTCGCTATAGTAGGGGAGACCTAGAGGGGACTTTTGAGTTTACTCGAGCGCGGCAGAATAACATATGGGGGGCAACCTTGTGAAGTACTCCCCCCATACCTGAGTCCTCTATAAAGGGTCAAAAGTCTAGCGCAGTCAAAAAAATATTCAACAAACGGCCATGGTTTTTGGGTGCGTCCAAACGTTAGTGTTTTAAATAGAATAGGTATTGGAGAGTTCATGCTACAATTTTGAGGACGGAAAAATATTGTTCTGCCACTTTGCATTTTGTGGGGCTGGCCGTATGAAGGGGTAGAATGTAGGAAAATAATATTTCGAGTGCATCAGACATTGAGAAGAGAGTGTTACGTGAATCCTCCAGTAGCTCCTATTCAAAAGACTGATGATTTGGACTCAACCAAAAGTAATGGCAGTTTCTTGATAATAAATTTTGCTGCCCTAGACGTTCGGTCCTACCTACATACATGGTTTATGTATGGTGGAAGTACTTCATAAGGTGCAAAGTTGCCCCCTTATGTTATTCTGCCGCGCTCTCAAGTAAATCCAAAAATCCCTGCTTGGGCTCCCCTCCTATTAGTGACGGGACGGATTGGGATTGTATTATTATTGCAATACAAACATAAATTGCATCTTTGTGAAAAGCATTTTTATGTAAACTCTAAAAAAAGATTGCAATACTGACTAGGTAAGTAATTTCGTATTTATTAATTAAGATACTTTTAACTCGTTGTTTTTATTGTTTTCTGTTTGTTTGTAAAGCAAAGATGCTTTTAGTTAATGAATAGTTGACTAACATTGATTAATATTTTATTGCAGGAAACTTAACATTTGATATGTACATTCCAGGTAAAAAATGTCTCTTTTGCTCTCCGGCAAGCATGGGAGATTATTAAAAACAATGTTCGAACAAACGACGTACCAAGTTGTTGGTTTAAGAGCGACTGTTTAAGACAATTCAAGTTTATGACATATTAATCTATTTCAACTTTATAATGGATCCTTGAAACATTATCCGCCTTATTCCAAAACGGCAGACTAAAGTTAGTCTTGATTTAAACCTAGCAAACAAAAGAGACAGCATTAGTTAGAGCCCAGGTTTAACTTTAGTCTATGTAACAAGGCGGTATAACTTTGTAAAATTGCATTGAACTCTCCAGCATCTTTACAAGACCACTCTACCGCGAATGAGTAATACAACCTTGTGACGTAATACAGTAAAATGGACCGCCTACAAATTATCAGGTAAGTCTACCGCTCCGCCCACTGCAAAAAGTTGAGACTTAGCAAAAACATTACAATATGGCTGGCCCTTTTGAACTTTCGAGTACATTTTAAAAGTAGATTGACAAACCAAGCTAAAGGTAGTTCGTTTCTTTTCTTGTTTGGTACAGAATTCACCAAGATTAGCAAAAATACATTCTAAACAACAACTCTATCATAATTATATGGGTATACTAAGTGTATCCGTAGTTATTCCACGGCATTAAGAGGAAAAATAAGGGATGGTAGATATTTAAGAGAAATAAATACATCAGTAGTTTTTTAAAACCAATGCACAATCTTAAACATGCTAAATTACATAGGTATAGGATAGTCGTCGTCGTAATTGATGTGCAATTAAAATTCAAGCCTTGTGATAAGTATACCGGTATACCAAATTTTACATTTAAAATCAACCCTACTGTATTTAATACGAGTCCTAAGTAGATTGTAAATACGGAAAAAATCAAAAGCGATAAGATAACATGTAGTTATAAATATATTTGCACATCGAAGTCTGAGCTAGCGTTTATTGAATGTAGCTGTGGCTGTATGGCCGGTAATTGAGTTTGGTCATCGCAGGAGCGCTCGCGCCTCCCACACCAGCCGTCTCACTACTCAGCCGCAGTCGAATGGTGCGCCCGCGCCGCGCGATGTGACCAACCAGTGAAGTGAACCAAGTGGAAAACTAACCAACTACATACATTCAGTGTTCAGCCTTAACAGTGTGTTTTCAGGTGGGTTCAAAATTCGAAACGAGAAACCTATCCGAATGGATATAAATGCGTGCAGTTGCAAACAACTCGAGTAGCGAAATTTGCTGAATCGCCATGTTATTTCGCAGTAGCGTTGATGTTCTTTATGTGTTTACCTACCTGTCTATGTATCGAAATTCCAAAGTATCATAAATTCTGTGCTGAGTGAATATGTTTTAAAAAATGTCGTCCCAGAAAAACAACTAAAAAGGATTCATATTACAAACTTTTCAAGGTCTCGAATCGTACAACCTTCTTAAACCCTAGTCCACCCAAATCATATTCCGCTAAGTAAGTACCTATTGAAACCTGTACATTAAAGTAAACTAATGCGAATGGTTAATCCAAATGGATTTTTGCTAACATGTCCCGGCACATACGGACAATTTAACCGATATCACAATGTGAAATAACAACAACAAACGATTTTAAGTGAATCAAAACATATGTAGGCGTGAACTTCGAAAGAGATCATGTGTATTGGACGGCTAACCCTGACACAAGGTCGCTGGGTGACGTCACTCTGTTGTGATGGTTCAGGACATGTGGGTTCCTGCAATAAGGATAAAACATTTCCCCTAATTAATGAACGGAGACAAACTCAACTAACACACACAAAGAGTCGACAGTCGTGGAACTAAATACCAAAACACAATTTGATTCAATAAGGTCATGTAGGTATGTCATAAAAATCCTAATTTGTAATTGTAACAATAACAACTTACTAATAGAGTTTAGTCATACATTGCTTTTATTTAAATCCCAATTATTCAAAGTTATAACTTAAATATTGCAAAAATATTTTCTTTTTTCTAACACTCTTTTAATAAAATAGTTTTACGGATAGTAGACACGTTATTTTAGGTAACTATAATAAAACCTTAAAATATGGAATTTAGTTTCATTGGTAGAGTGTCGACGCAGGATGTTGTGCCATAGTGAGTGTAATTGATAATAATGCAGACATACGCGTGAGCGACTAACCAGCCGCTATTATTGAAATGGACAAGTACATTTCCGGCGATGGTTTAAAAAATGAAGAAGAAATTAATGTACTCATTAGCAAGGAGATATAAGGTTCCGAGCTCAAACGTAAGAAATAGATCTTTAAATTACAAACCATCAAAGTTCTTGAGAGTTAAGCTTGTTCCAATTTACGAATAGGAATACTTAATCTGAAAGTAGTTCTGTTTTATATAAAAATACATACATAAAATTTATTTGTAAAGTAACCTTTATTTAATTAAATTCCCGGTATTAGTATCACATTAACAAAGTATGCAAAAATCAAAGACATTCCCATACGTGGCTAAATATATCCTAGACTTTCTACACCATAATGATTGATAGGTATAAGAAAAAGTATAAAGCAGACTGGTAGAAAACAGTTATTTTTTCTTAACTCATTCAATAATCACAAGATTTTATAGATAAAAAGCAAGTGCCTACCTATCTATATCGATGATTAGGAGCAATGACTTATGGAGGAAGTCCTCGATTCCTTAATGCAGAAAGCCTTTTTTGAAACAATGTACACATCGAAATCGCAAATAGATTAGGAATAGCATATGAGAAACTTACTGAGTGCAAGCTTGTCTTGCAAACTGGTTATTCTAGCTTTCTCACCTGAAAGATTCATTTAGTAGGTATCAACTTCTTTTAAAGACTAAGTTTGAATCATTCGTCGACAGCAAATGAAATACTCATTAATTTTAAATAGTATGCATAATGTTATGTAGAATTATTTAAATCTTGAACTGGTTCCTTCCTTGTTGATAACGGAAATGACCACCTTGTGAGCTAGCGTTACATCATTAGAAAAGATTGCTGATAAACTAGCCAAATAAAAAAGTCTTTTATAAATGAAAGATTTCGTACAATGATTGTGATAGACAGGCGGTAACCCGTGGTGAACTATGCATGGAAGTCATCAATACGTACCTATCTATACAGGTGGATAATAGCAGGTTCCCACGAACACAATAAAAATAGATACGGTATGACCAATAGTGTAAATAATAATCTTGAAAATGAGATGAAAACTAGAGCTTTTATGTAATCCAGGATTGAAGAAAAGGGATGAGATATTTAAGTATGAATGTATGAAAAATTACATTAAAGGTATTTTTCAAAACATGATGATACATTTTTAATAGCCTTTTCGGAAATTGATATGCCAAATAAACTACAAATTTTGATTTCACAGATCTTGACCTTTATCTGTTACTAGTGACATAAGGCAGAAAACTATCTGAAACATATAAT